TACGCTCCCGTGGTCGTTTTCCAAGAGCACATGTGCTCCTGAGCCAATTGTTGCTCCAGCTTGTAAATTATAATATATTTGTCAGAGAAGTTTGCAATAACAATAATTCGCTTGCAGAGCAAAAGCAACGGGGCAGTTAAGTTATGAACAATCAGGATTATGGCGGCATCCAATGGATACAGCAGCATGCATCCGCGGTGGACTCCGAGGCCGACTTACTGGAAAACGGCGCTACCGATAGCGAGGTAGCGTCCGCCTACTTGGTCAATGGCAATGCGACCGATGAGGATCTCGACCATATGGCGGCCGAGAATCTCATATTTATGGCGCGTGATGGTCAGCTGAGTGAGATAATTGCTGCCAACGAGAGCGGCGGCAGCACAGTCTTAATTACGGATAGCGGAACTGTTTCGTATGCCGAGGCATTTGACGAGGACGCCCAGGTGGTAACTGAAGAGATTATCACAGATGACTGGGTGCAGCACCAAGGCGCCGAGCGGTAAGTAGTTGACGATATTCTCCAGAACCGAGATCTATATAATTTGATTGGTTTCAGCGTTGAGATAGCTGCGGAACAAATCGCGGGCAACAACAGCTCGCAGGAACTGCTGGACATGGAGCAGGACGAGTATACGGCACTGCGACCCTATCCCTGTGACTTCTGCAGCCGGCGTTTCCGCAAAAAGACCAGCCTGAACAATCACATGCTGGCGCATCAGAATGATCGTCCGCATCTGTGTAAATTGTGCGGCGCTCGGTTCTCGCGACGAGCTGAGCTCATCAGTCACTTCAAAGCGCACGCCGAGGCACAGGATGAGGCTGATGCAGCCGATGCGGCGGCAGCAATCAAATTCGAGCCGCCACAGCAACAACAGCGCCAAATAGACGATCATTTCTATGAGCACGAATGGCCACTGTACCAAGAACAAGAAGATGATCAAGTGCAACATGACCTGCAGCAAATGGAGCAAGACCAGCAAGAGCAGCATGAACAACAGGGGCAGCAGCAGCAGCAGCTCGTGCTGCCGCAAGCCAGTTATGCAGCCATCAGTGATGTGCCCGCCCCAACTGCCACGCGAGGTCGCATCAGCCGCCTGAAGCCCAAAGAGGAGAGCACTCAGTACATTGTGATTGCCGAAAAACAGACAACGGACGACTTGCAGCCGTACATGGAGTGCGAGGAGCTGCAACCCGCGCTGACGAGCAGCACGTCAATCGAAGCGACGTCAGGGACAGCCAGCGCGCCCGTTGCTGAGGCGGCGGCGACTCCACGGTTTCCGGTGATAGATGAAAGCAAACCGTTCGTGTGTCAGGAATGCGGCTTGGCATTTGCCCGCGAAAAGGCGCTGGTTTCGCACATTAAGGTGACGCCGAAGATTACTCAAATTAAGATCGATATTAAACTCTTTTCTACCTCAGAATCATCGCGTCGACTCTCCGTTCGAATGCAATCAATGCCAGGATATGTTCTGGGACAACTACAGCCTGCAGGAGCATCTGAAAACACACCAGTTCGAGGAGAGCAATTCGGAGTATGATCCGGCTTCGGCGGGCGACGACAGCGCTAGCGAGTCGGAGCCGGAACAGCTATACGGCGACTTCTACTGCAGCGAGTGCGGCATTTCATTTCACAGGCAGGACCTGCTGCGGCGCCACACCAGGCAGCAGCACAAGCAGCTGACCACGGATGTGCAGAGCGGCGCTGGGGATGCGGACGCCGAGAGTGCCAAAGATGCGCAGCATTGTTGTCACACATGCGGCAAATCGTTTCCCAGCGCCTTGGAGCTGCTCGCCCATGCCGAAGTGCACGCGCGCTTCCCGCCCTTCAAGTGAGTGGAGACGATCTAAGGATTCTAGAAAGATTCTAACTAATGCCAATATTTTCAGATGCGTTCTATGCGGCGTTAGCTTCTATGAGGAGCAGGCCATCAAGCGGCATTTACACACGCGCCATCCGCATGAGCTGAGACCCAACTCGTGCGTGCTGTGTGGTAAGGAGTGTCGCGATCGCAAGGCCCTGATGAAACACGCCTGGGATCACTCGCGGGAGAAGTGCCACTCGTGCTCAAAGTGCGGCAAGAACTTCCATAACAAGGCGCGACTGAAGCGACACATGGCCTCGCATCGGGACAAGTCGGTCGTATGCGAGGTGTGCCACGAGGAGTTCCCGGACGGGCGAACACTGTCCAATCATCGACATTCGCACAGCACCACCTCGCCGGGCAAACTGTTTCCCTGCCACGAGTGCGGCAAGACCTTCGGGTCGCGCAGCTCCCAGCAGATCCATGTGCGCATCCATACGGGAGAGCGACCATATGGCTGCCACTATTGCTGGAAAGCGTTCGCAGATGGCGGAACGCTGCGCAAACACGAACGCATTCACACTGGCGAGAAGCCCTACGCGTGCTCCGTGTGTCCACGTGCCTTCAATCAGCGCGTCGTGCTGCGCGAGCACATACGCTCGCACCACTCGGGTCTGGATGCTGTGCGAGGGACATATCACTGCACCGTCTGCTCGGCCGATCTGTCCTCGTCCAATGAGCTCATACAGCATCTCATCCAGCACAGCGACACGAACACCGCCAAGCAGCGACAGCCAATCGTGAGTAGAGTGAACTGTTTGTTCTTTATAGAAGACATTTACAGTTATTGTTCCGTTTCTAGACTGGACCGCGAAAGTATAAGCGTCGCAGGAAACTGCAGCCACATGAGATCGCGCACATGCGAGCGGAGCATAAGGATGGCGAGGATTATGCCAGCGACATGGAGTTCTGTGACCTGGATGTGGAGAATGTGGACGATCTGCTAGAAGGGGCAGACGCGTTGCCAAGCAAAAAGGAGAAGCGCAAGCGTTCAGCTGCCAATCAGCCGAAGTCCGTGACCAATGGGGGCGCAAGTAGCAAAGCCTCTGCGTCGGTCAAGTCAGCCAATAGTAGCTGGGATGACAAGTTCCTGCAGACAAATAGCAATGGCAATGTCGCCAATAATGATGAGAGCTTCTACCCGATTGATTCGCTCGTGGTGGTCAATGACACCACTTTGCCGGCGGTCAGCCCATCCAGCAATGCACAAGGTGCTTCCAAGTCGCGTCGAGGCGGGGGCAAGCAGGTCGAGAATGGCGATAAGTCCGCAGGAGGCGGCACAGCAGCAGCTGCGACTAGCACGGAATCTAGCAAATCCCACGTCGCTAGCAGTCGCAGCAGCAGCCGAAAGAAGTCCAGTAAGTCGGCCAAGAGTGCTGCCACAGCATCATCCACACCAGCAGCGGCAGCAGCAGCAGCTTCCAACACGGCGAGTAGCTCGCGTCCACGAATGATACACACGGAAAAGTCGCGTGTGCCGCCAGAGAATGCATCGAAGAAGTCGCGTGGAGGCCGCAGCTACATAACGCGCACCAGCACCAGCGAGACCAGCAGCCAGTTGAGTAGCCAGCTGGTCAAGTCGAGTGGCGTGTCCAGCTCGCGAATTGTGGATGACTACGAGATCATATCACCTGCCACCCAACCGCCCAATCAGATCAGTTCCAGTCCGCTGCACATCAAGCAGGAGCAGGAACAGCAGCAGCAGCGCATCCAGTTCATGTTCGATGACAGCCAACTAATCAACACGGCAATGTTGCGGGAGAAGCCCTACGACAAGTTCAATCCAAGCATTGTCAATGATCTCGAGGAGATATTGCGCAGTCCGCTCAAGCATGATCGGAATGCGCGGCTGCGCTTTACCAGCGAATCGTCTACAACGCTACAGTTCCTGCCCGAGTTGGAGCCCAATCTCATCAAGATTGAGCCCACATCACCGGATCTGCGTGACATGGTGGAGAGCCAGCCGCGTGTCAATGCCACAGCTGGCCAAGCGGCCACGCCCGCAACGTCATCCTCATCGTCGGCGGCGCGCACTTCGCGTCACCTGCGACAACTGACGGCCAATGGCTCTGGCAGTCGCGCGGCGTCCAAGCGAAACGCTGGCAAATCCTCAACGTCCTCCGGCTCGAGCACCACGAAGCATAGTAGCAACACATCCTCAACAGAGGCTGTCAGCAAGTCCTACCTGAGCTACGGCGTGGACTCCTACAATGTGGGCGTGACAGCGAGTGCCAACGCGTCGGACGTCAGTTCCGGCTTCTTCTCCATCTCCGAGGTGGTATCCGCTGCCCACGCAGCAGATGCGGCCAAGGCAGCAGCAGCGAGCAAAACGGAGCGCCGGACCCGCTGCTTCGAGTGCGAGATGTGCTCATCCATATTTTCGGATCGGGCGCAGCTGCTGGAGCACATGCACATACACATCTAAAGGGAGCCCGAACAAAAGGAGAGGGATTTGTTATTGGAACTGTTTTGTTGGCAAAACCACTATACTAAAGGATAAAGAAAACGGATATATTAATTAAGTTCTGCTTAAGATTCTCGCAGGGTGGGGCTGGGGGTAAAAGTATTTTTTGAAATATTTACCAACAAGAATTTCAATTACAAATTGAATGAACATGTTGTGCGGGAGAAGTATATATTATATAACAAATACTTGCAACTATACACACACCCACACATATATATTATGTATACATATATATGTATATGTGTATGATGTACTATATAAAACAACGAAATTGTCGTTAATTATTGCGTTATTTAAATTGAATAGAGAGCGAGCTTAGCTATAAGGCTTTTTAAATTTGTACCTCACATTTGTTTTGAAGAATTGGTATGCTGAAGTAAATAAATCCATAATGGTTTTTCATTTAATTGCGAATCTCAAATTATTTAAAAACACGATAGCATTTATCGTTATCGTTAACTGTTGAAAACCATTATTCCATTATTTCCCCAGCTTCCAGTGTGTGTTTACGATATCAACGCTGGAGTGAGTCACTGCTCGACTGGAAATGAGATGCGCCAGAGAGAGGGAGAGCGAGAGTGTAAACGTCGCTCTCAGTGTATAAACAGAGTCTGTTTGCCTCTCTCTCTCTCTCTCTCGCTCACTGCCTTACTTTACGTACACAAAGAAAGTCCAATGCCCACCCTAAACTGTGCCAGTTGTTCGACTCGATCGATGCTCAGTCATCGACAAGTTGCCAAACAAAGCGACATTAAATAAAATAAGACAAATACTTGCTTGCAATTTTCCACTGCTCGAGTCGGCTTTAAGTATTTTACAACAGTATTTATATCATATTCATAGCGGCGGGCCTTATCAGAAACTACTCAATGGCTGAACAGAACGAACCATTGTGCGGTGGGATATCGAGTGAGCTGCAGGACTCTGATTTACAGGATGCCCTGGATATATTGAACACATCGCTGGACAAATTGGCCAGCAAGGGCGATAAGCCCAGCTTAAAGTGAGTAACCATTTCGCTATACATGTAATAAATACTCAATTGCAACTGGAATATTCCTGCTTCCAGGGTTGTTAAAGTGAAGTCTGTGACGTCACAGGTGGTTGCCGGCACTCTCTATCGCTACAAGGTTCAACTCGCCCAGGGCGATGCCATCAAAGAGAGCGACGTGAAGATCTGGTCACGGCCCTGGCTGCCAGAGAACGGCACCAATATAACAATCAACCTAGAGGGCGATGACAACGTTATCGAAAGTACTTTTTAAATAAATAATTAGTTATTTTTGATTTTATCGCATTTATTGAAACCTCAAATTCCCCTAAGTACGCCCTTAGTAGTTTATACTATAGCGTTGCCTTATCAGTGGCTGTTCAAAAAATCACTGACTCAATATTTCAGGGTAATATTTGTAATGTTTGTGAAAATAATGCAATTGCTTTATCTAAATATAAATATACATATGTATATGTTTATATACTCATACATTTATTATTAATTGAATCACTTTGTTACTGGCTAGTTATGAAAATTTTCAATTGTGTATTAACAGCAATTGAGATTATCTCAGTTAATTAAAACAGTTATTGAAAATAGAAAAATTGTAAAACTAATTGGGAGAGTTTTTTAAAAAACCTTTTATATATTTGTGTTTATATCAAGATTCATCTGCGTATTAATTACATATACAATTTTATCCATCAAATAATACAATTTCTAACGAGGAATAGATTACATGTATGGGATTAACTGCTTACATATGTAAATATGTAAGTGTATTTCTGTGTATATATTTCTCTCTTTTTCTCACCCTCCCTCTCTCTATCTCTCGCTATATCCCATCTCTCTCTTTCTATCTCTTTCTCTCACTGACAGCCTCATTTACTACCTTTCTCTCTCTTTCTCGCACTCCCTCTCTCCCTCTCTATCTCCTTCCCTTCTGGATTGCAGTTTCTTGATCAACAATTCTTTTAAATTGTAATGATCATAATAGTAGGTAAGTTTAATAGCTAATACATTGCAAATTATTAATGCATATACATATACACAAATATTTATAGGTATACTATGTATGGGTGCTAGCCCTATCAACAAAGTGTGTTCAGAGCGATCAGCGTATAAAAGACAAAACTCTCTGATTGACTAGTTAGTCTAGGTTGAACTCTTGGCCAGGCCATTTGAAGCAGCTTTTTGAAAATGTTCGGTTCGAAAATCTTTTATCTCACACTCTTTGCCCTCGTAAGCTCGATTCTAGCCCGGAGTCACCATCTCAACGGAGCTCCCGGCGAGCTGAGCGGCGAAGAGCTGAACAGGGCGGTTGAGAGTTTGCAGGCGACTCTGGCGAAGTTGGCGACTGTCGATGGACCCAGCTATACGTGAGTCATTCCACGATTTCACACACAAGTTCTTCGTTTCACTCATGTAGATAAAATGTTGCGCTAGGTGAGCAAGTGAAAAGTTTTCCCATCGACTGCAGCACGATTCTTGGATAAAGTAAAATTTAACAAACTAACGTAAATATGTGGAGATAAAAAGTGAGTCTATCTGTTAGCTCTAGTGCTGTAGATAGAGCTGCTTCCGTTCTCTGACTTTCCATATGATTCACTAAATTCGATTATAATTTAATATTATTCAATATAATGTTCAAGGTCGAATTTGCAAGAAAACTAGATCTAAAGGCAGAAACCTAGATCCTATAATCGCCCAATAGAATCATCATTTCTTATTATGTCTAATACTTTGATGGAGTATACACAACTACATATCTATCTTAAATATTCAGCTTCTAGTTTCAAATCATTAATTTTAATCATGTATTTTTATACTCTCTCTTTATATATATATGTGTATATATTATATACTATATACATATCTTTCAACAGCCTCAGCAAAGTGCTGAAGGTAACCAGACAATTCGTCGCTGGATATCTGGAGAAGTTCACTGTGGAGCTGACCAAAGATGATGTGACCCAGCAGTGCGTCGTCCAGATCTGGACCCAATTGTGGCTGAAGGAGAACGGCACGAACATTAAAATCAATTGCGAGGGCGATGATACTAAGGTTGACAAAACCTGGTAAACATTTCAATAATGACAGCATTGTAAAGACATTTAAATAAAACTGCAAACAGCTTTTAAAGCATCGCAACCAGTTTTTGTTCATAGTTATTCGAATCTCTCTCTCTCTCTCTCTCGGTATCTTTTTTTCTCGCTCGCTCTTAAAATTCAATACATCTTTTTGCTAATTACATAATCGGTTTAATTATTGACGTCATATTAGCAGTGGTAGCGTCTTATAAAAAGTTAGATATGAAGTGGAGATTGCTTGACTAGCAGATACCCTAAAATAGGCTTGTATCGTATATATGCGTATATATTCTGCTGAATTATTAACTTAAGTATTGATTTTTAGAGTAAATTGAAAATAAAAAAATATTGATTCAGTAGAGCATGTAATTTATTTCTTTCAAATCGAGTTCTCTTATTTAAACATTTAGAGGTATACACGAAAGTATTCAAAATATATTTCATAGATATCTACAAAGTGACTATAATCTATAGTTATGTTAGGATAGATTGACTGCTTGACTCAGTTTGAACCAAAACCAAAACACCCTTATAGATCATGAAATGGATATAGCAATAATTATCAAATCAGAAACAAATGTTAAGAACACATTTCAGTTAATTGAAGAGCAACCAGCCTACAATGGCAGACTTCTCTCTCCGCCGGTTCTATTAGAACTGATTTAGCATTTTTTGGCAATATTTGCTCTAGGCACGCCCATGCTAATGAGAATCATAAATACTCTGGTCAGACGTCTGAATTAATCACAAACAGAACTTATTCATAAGAACTGCGTGGTTTGAATTTTATCATATATACATTTGTATTTATATATATATGTGTATATTTCCAATTTCACTTAAAATAATTCTCAGGATTATTTATAAGGTCTTTAACCTTGGGTACACAATCAAAGTACAAGGATCAACATTATATTGCTCAAAGAGCAGTAAAAAAAAACTTTCATAATGCTCTGTATTGTTTGGTATTTTTCAATGTCAGGTGTACTGAAAATAATTATGGTTGATTATAATGCTTTCTTTTTTATTTCTTTTTTTTTTTGTGTATTGTTTTTGTGTTATTAATTGCTCATTAAACATAGTTATTATCATTGTTCTTGTTATTGTTGCAATTTATTAGGCGCTGCATTCGAAACAAGTTCTTATCGCCTGTTCCGGATGCTTTTATACTCAATCTGGACATATTTTAGTTGATTTTTTTTTACTAATTCGTTTTAATTTTAGGTCAGACAGCGTACAAAATATGCCTGTTTTTTTTTTTTGTAAGTATATAGGGGTACAATGATAAATTAAAAATATATTTTTTTGAAAAATCAGTTGAACTTAAAGTCTAGAAAATAATTAATAAATATTTAATATTTATACATATAATAATAATAAATAAATCAACAAATATTATATGTGTATGATGCTTTATATTTTATCCAGATCTTTCTACTATATAGACTATGAAATATTGAATTTTTTCTAAGATCTCGTTAAGCCACAAATTATTCTTATTTAGTTAGTAATATATGTATACATATATGTTTATTAATATTATTAATTTATTGTTATCTAGAATTAATTCTAAATAACAATTAATGTTTATATATAACTGGTTCTTTCTTTCTACCATAATATTATTATTTATATGAGAACATATATATTTATACGGGTATATTTGTTTACCTTTGTTCAACAACTCTTTCTTTCTTTTGTTAAATATTAAATATTCCGAATTAAATATGCAAAAAATATAATCTTCAATTTCCCCAATTAATACGTCACACATTTGCATAATTATAATCAAATAAACAAATAAAACAAACCAGACCTGATTCTAAAAATTATTTCTCTTGCTTGCTCTATTGCTCTCTCTCTCTCTCGTCTCGCTGCTCTTACATCGATTTGCTCAGTGCGCGGCAAATACTCACACACACACATACACTCTGCTTCTACTCAACAATTTGAGATCGGCTATAAATGCCGACTCAGCCGAGCGTCTAACTTCAGTCTGGAATCGTGCTCCACATCGCTCGGCAGAAACTTAGATAAAAAAAACTAAAATGCTCTCAATGAAAATCGTTTTTGTTCTCGGCTTGGCCTTGACAATTGTTTCGGCTGGCGTAAGTAAATAGTTTGAAGTGCGAAATATATACAAGTATATTGTATATAAATTTATATGAGTATTCAAAAATTATTCTTAAAGATTCTCGGCGGCGTCACTGAGCTCTCTGGCGCTGATCTGAAGGAAGCCGAAAACACCCTAAACAATTCTTTGTCCAAATTGGCAAGCGGCGATGGACCCAACTACAAGTGAGTATTAAAGGATTCTTATTTAGTGACTTGGATATATTTATTGAATTATTTAAATATCTGCTTAGATTGGGCAAAATCATCAAGGCCACTCGTCAAGTTGTTTCGGGCACCAAATACGTCTACGATGTGGAACTGATTGAGGGCAGCAAGACGAAGGTGTGCAACGTGGAGATCTGGTCCCAGCCCTGGCTCGAGAACGGAATCCAGGTGACCTTCAACTGCCCCGACGGACAAGTTGTGAAGAAGCACAGCGCCTAGGCGTGGACACTATTCCTTATAATCAATCATAATCAATCTGATCAAATATCAGCTTTGCAATAAAGAAAGAACAAAATTAAAGTGAAGTCTTTTGCTTTGGAAGAAGAGAGTTTGATATGTCATGACTCATTTTAATACATGTAAAATTAGTGAGCCTGTGGCTGGGGCTATCCTGAATGTCGTATAATATAATACTTCATAGAAGTCAACTTTTATAAACCAAACTTAATTATTATAGGTTCTGTCTGCTGACAGATTGATGAGCAGAGTTCAATTGCCTAGGTTACAAAAATCTAACTATGTCTGAATAAGAATATTTCCAACAAAAAAAAAAAAAAGTTTTTTAAATAATTTTTTTTTATATTTTCAATCAAGTTATTATATAAGTACAAAGTGTTTTGTTTTACTTTTTTTAATTTAAGAGTATAGAACTAAATGTGGCTTAGCGAGGTTTTGATTATTTATAAGTGTATGATTCTTTTTTCTTTGTTCGAGCTCTTTCTTTCAATCTATTGTTACAAATTATTAGCATATTTTTTATTTAAGTATAATCTGCCATAATTAATTTCTTACACATTTGCATAAGTATGGCAAATAGACATGTGAAGCAAACCAGATTTTATTCTAATTTCCAAAATACTATAATTTCTCTTGTGCTGTTCCCACTGCCGCTCTCTCACCTCAAACACTCACATATACATATACATGTACTTTTTTCACACCAACTAATTAGAGATTGGCTATAAAAGCCGACTCGGCTTAGCGTCTAGCATTCAGTCTGGATTCGTTCTTAGCAACGCTCGTTAGGAATTTCGAAAAATAATTAAAATGCATTCAATGAAAATCATTTTTGTTTTCGGCTTGGCCTTGACATTTGTTTCGGCTGACGTAAGTATATAGTTTTTATATATAAGGCAATGAATTAATAATGAATTCTTAAAGATTGTTGGCGGCATAACTGAGCTCTCTGGCGATGATCTGAAGGAAGCCGAAGTCACCCTGAACAAATCGCTGTCCAAATTGGCAAGCGGCGATGGACCCAACTACAAGTGAGTATTAAAGGACTCTTATTTAGTGAGTTGGATATATATATTAAGGTATTTAAATATATGCTTAGGTTGGGCAAAATCATCAAGGCCACTCGTCAAATTGTTGCGGGCACCAAATACGTCTACGATGTGGAACTGATTGAGGGCAGCAAGACGAAGGTGTGCAACGTGGTGATCGTGTCCCAGCCCTGGCTCGAGAACGGAATCGAAGTGACCTTTAACTGCCCCGACGGACAAGTTGTGAAGAGGCACAGTGTCTAAGAGTTGACAATATGTATATATACTACTTACTATAACCACTATATATATTATATACTACAACCATAATCTGATCAAATATAAGTTTTTCAAAAAAGAAAGAGTAAAATTAAACTCAGATCCTTTGTTTTTAATGAAGAGAGTAATGAGTTCATTAGGTATATAAAAAATATTACCATACTGGTGTTGATTAAAATTGGTCAGCATTTGTCTGGTTGTATCCTGAATAGATTACAGGGTATAATGGTTTTCTAAGCAGGTAGATGCTATAGGAGAAGTAAATTTATTTATTATCGGCCAAATATGTGTAATATATGCATAAATAATAGTAAATGTGCTTTAGCTAGATCTTGATTCTGTGCTTCTTCACCTTTGCTCAAATTATTTCTTTTAGTCTTTTATTAATTATAATTTATTTTCGAATTATAAGCTTCAACTTACCTACATTAAATTCTCATACAGATGCAAACGAATATTCAATTAGACAAATAAAACATGTCTGATTTGATTATTTTGAAAATACTATAATTTCTCTTGTGTTCCCTCTCTCACTCTCTCTGTCTACTCATAGACTTATGTACGTATTCGGCTCATACGCATTAATTAGAGATCGGCTATAAAAGCCGACTCGGCTTAGCATCTATCATTCAGTCTGGAATCTTGCCTTGCATAGGTCGGCGGGAATTTCGAAACAAGATAAGAAATTAAAATGCTCTCTATGAAAATAATTTTTGTTCTCAGCTTGGCCGTGACAATTGTTTCAGCTGGCGTAAGTAAATAATTTACAGTATCCTATAGACATAATCATATATGTATTACTCCTTTTTATAGATTGGCGGCGGCATAAAGGAGCTCTCTGGTGATGATCTGAAGGAAGCCGAACAAATCCTAAATGATTCGCTGGCCAAATTGGCAAGCGGCGATGGACCCAACTACAAGTGAGTATTAAAGGACTCTTATTTAGTGAGTTGGATATATATATTAAGGTATTTAAATATTTGCTTAGACTGGGTAAAATCATCAAGGCCACTCGTCAAGTTGTTTCGGGCAGTAAATACATCTACGATGTGGAACTGATTGAGGGCAACAATACGAAGGTGTGCAACGTGAAGATCTGGTCCCAGCCCTGGCTCGAGAATGGAATCGAGGTCACTTTCAACTGCCCCGACGGACAAGTGGTCAAGAAGCACGGCATCTAAGTTGATTGCCTCTCTCCTGGTCAATATTTTCCAACCAATAGCTGCATGAATGTATATAAATATTTATGTACATATATACATATATATGTATATTTATATATATAAATTTTTGCTAATTGATTATTTTTGGGCTTTAAGTTCAACTGATTATTCTCTCACTTAATTAACAAATTTATTTTAAATATACATATGTAGAGCCATATGTATATACTTAATGTATGTATATATTTAAATAAATGTGAAGAATTCTTGCTTACTTTCTCAGATCGCTTTGCTCATTGCGAGGCAAGTATTCACACACATACTCAGGTCGGAGTAGACAATTAGAGAACAGCTATAAAAGCCGACTCAGGCGAGTGCTTAATATTCTGAATTCCTGCTTAGCAGGAAGTTGAAAAAAAAAAAAATATATATATATATATAGAATACTCTCAATGAAAATCAAACAAAACTATAGTGATCTGCTAAAGGGAATTCTATGTATCGCAGTCAAATGAAGAGGAGATTCATCAATTCCTTAGGTAAATATTTCAAGCCAAGTAAGAGTTCTTTAGCGACGAGTATGAGACTATGAGTGCTTTTAAGAGCTCCTATTCTTTCTTTACATTCTGCATTCACAAGAAAGAGCTCATACACACACACACATACACACACACACTTTGAGGTGGTAAGGATGAGGACTTCAGGCCGACGTTCAAAACCAAAAGTAAAAATTTTAACCGATTGCTATTACGGGTTCTGGGATTGACGCGTTCATTTCAATGCATGAACTCGTCAATCCCAGAACCCATAATAGCTAAATCTCAATAGGTCAGACAGACAGATGAGCTGGCCTTGATCAACTCGATACTAAATCCGTTGGATTATCTCTGTAATTAAAGTAAATCCTTTTCCAGAGACGGGCACAGATTTCACGGTATATCCTAGACGTGCTTCTCAATCGCCACAGGGCACTCCCACTTTTCTGTATCTCAATTTGCATCTTCAATGAGCACCATCATCATCGTTTCGTTATATATATTTCTTGTCTTAATGCCATTTTTATTTGCGTTTAATTAGACAAGTTTGAAATATTGTAAATAGAAATCTGAGTCTTAAGTTAATTATTATTGTTTATATCCCGAACCGGTTCGTATTAAAAGCCGGCTAGCTGTCGAAAAAAAAAACTGTCTAAAAATACAAACAAGTTCACAGACGTAATTCACTGAAGTAAATACTGTTAAACTGGATAAATATTAAGCTCTAAATAGTTTCAGATTTAATGCCGTTCTTTGTTCTACATTGAAATTATCATAATTTAACTATATTTAATATATGTACATAAGTATCGATTTCTATAGACTTTAGTTCTCTTCTTTTTGTACTGGCCGCCAACGAGTTTATTTAGACAATAGAAAAAATTTTATAATTTCTTAGAGACAACTCGATTTTTGCTTTCTATACTATCTGCTGGGCTGATTGTGAATCTGATTTTAATATGCTTCTCATCTTTTTTTCATTTGCATTGCTTATGTAACTACATCATGATCAATATACCAAGAGTATTTCACCGAAAAATGTGTTCAAATGACGTGTAAACATCTCAAACAGCAAGCCTTATCAGCTAAGATAGACATAGAAATCTACCTTCAGACCTCTACTGTCTGTGCTTCAATATGTTCGTTTCTGTTATCAGCCAATGGAAGATCGTAGCCAAAATAAGCAGCAAGGCGATAGCGTATGCCTAAATGCAGGTAGGTGAGGAAAGGTGCACAAGCAGGTAAGATTGAAATTATTTGTCTTATGAAGACATGCGAACAGAGAATCGATAAAAATTAGCAGGCATTTTTCAGTTCTCTTCAACTCTTTAACGAGGCTAAGTGATTGTTGTTCTCTATTATGTATACATATATCAACTAAAATGATTTAATTAATTTTTCTTTTCTTTTCGTTGTCATTTTCCAATCAAACATACATATTGTATATATGTGTTAGTAGCATTTCCACATTCATATATACATACCAAAAGCTGGCTGCTATGAAACGTGCAGGTGAAATGAATCAAATTTATTGTAGCCTAACATTCGGCGCAAGCTAATAATCTTTTATAATTTCTCTTAAAAAAAAAAAATACTTTAAACTGACAGTTTACAATTTCTTTAAAATCGCTTTTCTATCTTTTATAAATTTTGTTGTATAATAATATTTATATCATGTAGCTCTTGAAATCTTTAATTAGCATAATTTTGCTAATTGAATAAATGAAAATCTAAAGACTCTAAAGTATATATTTAATATAGAGAAAAAGTCTCTAAATTTCTTTTATGATATAGGTGTCGCATATATATCAGAACTAAACACATTGATGACTAAGCATTTGAGCTAAATTTAGATCCTATTTCTTTATGATATATTGATATAAGGTTAACAACAAATCATATTTGTATTCTATATGCTTTAATTTATATAGTGTCTATTCTATATGAAGTTAAATTCTAGTAAATTCTATACAAAATTTCCGGTGGACACCCCCTTCCATATGACGCATGGATAAATTTGTATATCAAATCACTAATTGGAGTTGGCATGATCTTAAAGCCTTTATTGCACTGTTTCTTCAGCTGTTAGCAAATTCCTATGGTAAATAAATTTCAATGCCTTTCAGCTCCAGAGCTGCGATAACGGGCTAGAACAAATATTATTTATATATTATACTTAAACTTTGATATTAACAAACAAGAAAATACATGAAAAATTAAAAAAAAAAAAAAATAAAAATGAAAATAAGAAATGTATTTAGCCCAGTTAAAAGACTTTAAAGTAATTTAGTAAAAAAGAAAATGGCTTACAAAATAAATGCCTTAATCAAATACAAATAAAATAACGAAAATGAACTCTTAAATTGAATTTCATTTAATTCAAGGCAAACAAATTTAATTTGTATTTACCTTAAATTTTGGAATTTCTTCATTAATGAAACTGTTGAAGGTGAACTTTGATGTTTATTTAATAATGATATTTGGCTGATGTTCGACATTCACCCCAAGAATAGAAAAACATCTGCGCAAATTTGCAAATATGCGGCCGATGTTTTTGCTATATAAGAGCGGCATGTCTACTCGAAATTATATCAAACTCAAAAAGGATCTTGCATTGTTAACAATCTCTTGAGATGCGTGCTGCAACACTTGTCCTGAGCTTCGGCATTTTGGCCAGTTTCGTTGTGCGGCGCTGCGAGGCGGTGGCCTGTACATCCCTAGCGCCTGATGTACCCGAAGGTTGCACCAATTGCGCATTGCCAGCTAATGCCAATCTTCCTGACTGTCAAACAACAACAATAACAACAACAACGGAGGCCACAACAACAACGGCGGCCTCGACCGGAACTGGAACTGGAACTGGAACTGGAAATCGCAAGGGATCGCGAACTGTGGTCATCAGGAATCTAAGGTATACAAATATACGGCGCATTCGCAAAAATAACAACGCCAACAACAACGCCAGCAACAACAACGCGAACAGGCCTCAGAACAATCAGTGGAGACGTGGAAACGCGAGGCGTGGAAATGGTAGGCGTGGAAATGGTAGGCGTGGCAACGCGAGACGTGGAAACATCCCCAACGTGCGTGTGATCAGAGTGTAAGCCGATAAAACAGCATAAATTGTACAACTATCGATTCATAAATTCATTGAAAAATAAATATCAAAAATAAAAAATAATGTTTGCATATACATTTAATTTTTTCTATATTTCATCTAGTTTTGTTATATCCTGAACTCGTTGAAAATGGGAAAACATAAAATAGAGGAAGGCAATAGGCTCATTAAACTTAGTTTTTTAGACAATGAAAGAGAGTCAGAGGGAGAGAGAAGCGCGATAGATAGAAGAGAGCGAGAGAGAGAGAGAGAGAGAGAGAAATAGAGCGAGTGAGACAGGGTCAAAGTGAGATAGAGCAATGTAGAAAGAGTCGAAGAGGTAGTGTGAGTGAGACAGGTTGCTTCTTTTTCATTTTATTTTCTATTTCTTTCTCTTTCGCTTTTTATTTTCTCTCGCAGTTTTCTCACAAAATATGCAATTGACTTTAGTGCGAATAGTTCAGTAATATCAAATGAAATTCTTATATATCTTTTCTTTCATTCGTGTATATAAAAAAACTCAAAAATTTATTATTTTATAATATTGTATTGTTTACAATATTGTTGACTCTCTAAAACTGAGCATTGAAATTCATATACAAAAGTTCTATGGCTCGGCAGTCAGGTTTACAATTTAGCGTGAGAGTTTCCAATGAATGAACTTTTGTATCTTTGTATTATATTAATTATTATGACGCCACTAGTGTGTATTATAGAGTTAAGCAGAGACAAAGTGTGACGGGCACAGCGTTTCATGCGATTCAGTTGGAGTTGGAGCCCATCTCTGAGCGGTTCAGCCATGGAAATTTATCGCTACTTAACAATTGTGTTGCTCGCACAGCAAACGGTAAGTAAAATATATATACATATATTATACTATATATAATGTACAATTAATTGTGTTTATACAGCTATCGATTTGTATACCGCCCAACCACTGCATTGAGAACGTAAGTAGTCAGTATTTATTTTCGGTAGAGCTCTCCCTCCCAATTGTATGCCCCTGCAGATGGACTATAGCGACGCAAAGGAGCTTTACAGTTATGTACTTTCGAAATACGACGAGCTGCAAATGAAAATTAGCGGCGAGCCCTTGGGGTAAGTTTCGAGCAGTTAGTGTACAATAAAAAATGATGAAGTTCGCGGTGAAAGTTTTGACTATTTTGTTGAGCGCAGATTGCATGGCAAAGTTGTCACGCACGGCAACATCGAGGAGCAGCATATAGTGTTCCAGCTGATGGACAATACGCCGCACGACGTCATCCAGAGCTGCGTGTTTGTGGTTACCAAAGCGCCCGATGAGTGCGAGTCGATTGTGACCGTCTGCAACACATTTTTGGGACGCACGCCGCGGCCGTTGCTGGAGCGCAAGCCACTGACGGTATGTGAGGATGGCGTGCGCGAGGCGGAAGTGGAAACGGAGGTGGAAGTGGAACCGGAACGCGGACCGGAAGCCGAGGACACTGACGACGCCAATGAGGGTAAAGAAGCAACGCCAGCCACAGCGCCGGACGTCGACGTGACCAGCGACAGTGAGCTCATCTAGCCTGGCCTGGGATTTGGCTTAATGTGCTGTAATTCGTATTTGAAAAAGAATTGATTAAAGGAGCTTGAGTTGAAATGATTTGGCTAAAAAATAATTTGTCAATTCAAAGCTCTACTGATATAATTTCTATACATAGGCGTAGGTATCATAAGTTATTAGTAATGTTATATTTACCTAAAAATATGCCAGAATCAGCATAAAGTCCCATTTATAATTGAATTTCTTATATTTATACAATTAATTTAAATATTTGTATTAATATTATATTTTTTATTATTCAATGTCGTAACTTTATCTGTAATACAAACAGGATTATCTTTGCTCAAGATCACAGCATTTAATTCTCTTAAAGCAAGAGCACAAACTCAGTCAAAGCCTTGAAGTTCAACAATGGCCAAACGCCTGCCCACAAAAATGGCGCCTGCGCTTCAGACACTGACAAAGAGAATGCTCTTAATTTGAAGGCACAGTGGTCTGATGAGCATTTATACAAATCGAACTTTCAAGAAGTGGGCTATGGCTTAAAACTTTTCTTTGCGCCAATCTATTTCGTATAATTTATAATACATCATAATGTTACCTTAATAGTTAAAAATATAAAAACTTTAAATAATATCAATATATATGATACAGTTCGTTTGGCACCTATTGCAATTTCACCAAGCTATTTACAACTTGGCGTCACTGTAGCTTTTATTGTCAACACCCACAGGCACCTCGAAAGAGCGCGAGAGAGCGCATTAAAGCAGCGGCTTGTGCCAAATAACAGTAAACAAAGCGTAGCACATGCTAACGCTGACGCTGGCGTCGACGCTAGCGTCAAAGCAGCCGCTTTGTCTGCGCTGCGAGCGCTGCTGAAGCTGCTGCTGCTGCTGCTACTGCTGCTGGTTCGCCCTATCAGTTGATGTCTGGCGCCAAAGCGAACTGGAGCAACGGCAAGACGGGGAATAGTCCCGCTCAGAGTTCATAAGCTGCAGAGCACGATTACACACGGTGAGAGAGGGAGAGCGAGAGCACGAAAGCTAGCAAAAGCAAAACAAGAGAGTGAGCGAAAGAGAGAGTATGTGTGCCCAAGCGTTAACGCGACAACGTGAGGCAGCTAGACAGAGAGAGGGAGAGCCAGAGAGAGCGCAGCCATTTGGGTACGCTGTAATTTAGCTAGGCCCGCACAGAATTTTTTGGTCGCACACATCGTGCTCAGTGCTCAACTTGTCGTCGTGCTGTGAAAAAGTCGAAAAGCCGGAAATCGAGCAATTCTGTGACAGCGCTCATCCACCCACCGCTCTCGCCAGCTGCTCGAGCATTAGGCTGCCGCAAACACTACGTATGCGGAATCGCCGCCGGTTGTAAAACAAACGGTGCAAACAGTTTTGCATAATATGTACAGCAAATACAAATAGCAAACAATGGCGACTGCCCAAGAATTAGTGTACGAATCTAATCAACAATTCAGTGTTTTCATAAAAAATTAAAACAAATAGCAACAACAACAACAACAACAACGACAACAAAAGCCAGCAACAAGAAACCATAAACAAATGCTTGTCAAGTGCAGTGCAAAGCGATTTGTCGCATTTTTCTAATTCACATTCACCCGCGTCGTTTGTGTTATCAGCCTGAAAACATCAACAACGACAGCAACAATAATAACAACAATAACAACGACAAGAACGGAGACAGGCACCACAAAAACACTAGCAAACAAAAGGAAAAAAAACGAAAACAAAAACAAAAACAAATGCTTGCATTCTCGGCGATATGTAACTGCATTTCAAAATTGTCGCTAACGCCGCTGTCGACGCACATGTATATGCGTGCCTGTATGTATGTGTGTTTATAGGTGAGTAGCTTTTGTCATTATGCGTGCGTGTGTGTGTGTGTGCCTATGTTTGTTTTTATCTACAGCTAAGCTCAGCTGTAGTCGTAGCTTTAGCTGTGTTTGTGGCTTCTGCGTAAACAAAGCAACCAAACCCAACAACAAGAAAAACATGAAGAGAAATACAAATAAATTAAACACAAACACTCGACTCGAAAAAAAAGGGAACCAGAACCCCGCCTCTAATGGGAAAATTCTAATATTTTACCCTTGAATGCAAATGTTGTGTGTGTGTGTGTGGTTTGGCAAGGGGCGTAGGATGAGGGGCGGGGCTGGCTGCCTCCTAAAAGCTTTTTACTTTTGAGCCACATTTTTCGCCTTATATTTCATAAATATAAATAAAACGCAGCGGCTTCTTTCTCTGACGCGTAACGTAAATTACTTCAAAATTTGTTTTCACACAGTTTCATTTTTTTCTCGTCGTCACTTGCGCGCGATTTTCTCTCTCGTTCTGGCTTGCTTGCCTTGTTGCCCTTTTGGAGACTCGCCAAACGGTCGAACGAGCGTCCCCCAGGCTGACGGTGAGTCAAGTCAGTCCGTTAGTCGAATCCATTAGGTTTTTGTTGCTGCTTTTCCTTCTTGTTTTATTTTTTTTTGGTTTATGAGCAGAACGTTGCCCCATGTCACTGTCTGGCTGAATAACAGATCTCTTAAAAACAGTATATACGTATATAGTATATATACTTGCTTGTTTTTCCACTTTGACTTTATTTTTTAAGGATTTTAGGCTGTCGCAAAACTTGTTGACCCATTTATGTGCTATTTGTAATTTGTTATTTGCCAAAGACTTTATTCAATTCCCAAATTACTTGTTTTTTTTTTTTTGTTGTTCATTCTTTCATTTTGTTTTCTTAATCTCTTTGGCTCTGATGGACTCCATAAACATTAAAATCGTACAGATTAAAAGCTTTATTCCAACAATAACTCAATTTTCAGGCCATGCCCATATGACTTTGGTTCACTATATTTGGTTAGGGTCTGGGCCTTAACAATTTGCCAAGTGTTTTAGCACTTGAAAGGGTTTCGGGCAGAGTGCTGTCTTACAGTTCTTAAAGAGTGCCTACTTAGTCTCTATGTGTGTGTGTGTGTGTGTGTGTGTGGGTGTCTGTGTGTTAGTGAGGTCTAAATAGGACTCATCGATTCTTTCATTTTTGTTTTTTTAATACAGTTTTATTAACGTTTCCTTTTTAGTGTCTGTTGTGCGTGCTTTTCGCAGGGACCCGGCGCGTGTTTCTGTCCTTTTTGCCCGCTGTGCCTAAGCACACTTACGCACTCACACACACACGCACCTACATATTATACGTCAGTGTGTCTAGTCCACGACCTAAACGCTGAACTGGCCTGACGTTCATTGGCTTTGTGCGTTCCGCAGGCGGATATTTGTTTTTGTTATTGTTCCTGCATTCTCAGCAGCGCCATTTGGCCCGAGTTGCGTATCCGCTGCCGCTGCCGCTGCCTCTGCCGCCGCCTCTATATCTGCCTCTGTCGCTGTCTCTGCCTCTGCCTCTGCCTCTGCCATCATTGGCCATAAAATGGTGTCTCTGCGCACATTTTGCCAGTCGCATTCACATCTGCGACAGGCTTTCGCCTAGTTTAACCTTGCCTTGCGCCTCGCTTCTGATTTTATGGCACACACACACACATACCCACACACACACCGCGAGCACCCTGTGCACCCTCCGGCCTCCCTTCAGCTGCTCGCCAGACACATGAGCACATTTTCGCAATTTTATTTTGTTCCACATTTTCTTGGGCATTCCTCTGTGCCCTGGATTTTTGGCCCACATTTTGTTTCTGTTGTGTGCCTCCTGTCTTGTCGCCTTTGCTCGTTCGTCTGCCTTAGCCGACTTCATTTAATCAGCAATTCATTTATTAAAACGCCTCGCTTTACTGCAAAGCCCATTTTGACTGACCTTGAAGCGCTTGCTTTCCTTGCCATTCGGGTTTATTGATTCAGTTAGTCGGGCGGCACGGCTTGGCGCTGCATGCTGATCAAATTGTCGCTAATTTGCTGTCGTGTTGCCAAATTATTGCCTCAAATAAATTTACGTCCATTTAATTCCTTTTATCGCAGAGCCAGCGATAAAATAATACAATTAATTAAGTTAAATGCTAAAAGTTTCAAATGCCTGTCATTACAGGGCTAAAACAAAAACCACAATTTATCAAAAACCAAAAAAAATAATTTTAGATATATATTTAACTAATGCAAGAGCTTATCGAAGATTAGTTTGTTGGAATTCTCTCCTTCATATTTAATAGTAAAGCATAATAAAATGATATGACATTTAATTCATCTCTGCAGCCTGTCAGATTACGTATACGCGCCGTACGCCAGCTTTAACAAGCAATCGCCTCCGTTGAGCATTACTCATAAAAAATAGAGAAATTCGCGACTGAGCAGCAGAGCTATACTATTAATATTGACCCGAGAGTCTGAGAAACTTTTACCGAAAAGCAGAGCAGTTGAAAGATGTTGCGAAAGGCGAACGGCTGTCGTCATATCCTTGGCCAGGAAACAACCTGGACGATGCACGGCAGCCGCCGTCTGACTTTTCGTTGCCACATTTCAGTCGCTTCTTATTTTTTAGTACTTTTTTTTTTGTAATCTTATTTGGTTTCTTCTTCTTTATTTTCTTTTTTTTGTGCACTTTTAAGTTTCGTGTTATTCCAACGCGAAAAACTTCATCTTTGGCCCGTTTTGCCTGGCGCTTATCCGTCTTACCCCATTTTAGCGGTGTTTTTCTCGCCGCTCTTGTTCGATACTTTTCTAAAGAGCTGCTGCCACATTTTGTTGGCTTGCGCTTTTATGTACGGCTCCCGGCTGGCTTTTTACTTAGCTGCTGCCTTTCACTTGCCCAACCATTGAGCTCCAACGAATTCTCAAATACTCGACTTGAATATACCTAAACCGAGACCAGTTATGAGTCTCTCCAGCAAACTGAGTTAATAATGGCCAAGTGCTTTTCAGTGAGATTGCAAACTCTTTGTATATAATGTCACGTTTTATTTCAAAGAAATATGCATTACAATTTGAGCTCAGGGAATATTTTATGAAATTTTTTTATATATATATTTTTTTTTTATTTTTTATTATATCCTGAACCTATTGAAAATGAGAAACTAGGATAATGGCTTTGCATCTTTTCTTTTATTTTTATAGAAAACTTTTCATTTATTAAAGGTGGAAATTAAGTTAATGGTATTATGTTAAGAATTCCTTATAGTTTAATTTAAAATTATAGAAAATAAATCAAATAATTCTAATTACAGGTAAAAATAATAATAAAATCTATAATAATAATATATATATTTCATGTATAAAATTGCATAGGTTGCATAAGGAAAAATTGAGTTAATGATATTCTGGCAAGTCATATCGTTGACTGCAAGTTTGTTTTGCAAATTATAGAAAATAATAAAATAATAAATAAATCAATTCTAATTGCAGGTGAGGTCAGGGCACTTAATTGGCATTCTACAATCAGCTAAAAATGCTGTGCGATATTCGAATAGTTTGGCATAATTTTATTATTTTATTTTGTTGCAAAACTCACTTTGAATTTATTCCCTGCGGTTGTTTGCGCTTCGCCGTGTCGCACATAAATTTTGTTTTTTCCCCATATTTTTTGGGGGGTTTTACTGTTGGTTTTTGCAGCAGGATATCTTTTACGCATTTGCCCTTTGCTGTAAGCTGTATGTGCACACACTCACACTCACGTAGCCTGACCGCGTTTCGCTTTTACTTTTAGTTGTTTTGCTCGTTGATTTGGTTTTCTCTATTGTTTCTTATTTTTTGTTGTTTCTTGTGATTATTCTTTTGCGCTATTTTTAGTGGGCAACATTTATTTTGGTCGCTTCGGTTTTTGTGTTTGTCATTTTGGCCGCAAAGTTGACCCTTGTGTTGGTGACAGTGCGAAAACAAAAGTGTCCACAATTGAAAGGCTTTGGCAGCTCCGTTCTCGTTCTCGTTCTCATTCTCTATTGTCTTTTGTCGTGTTTCCATATCGATTATATAATCATCGGAGGGCGTCTCTGGCACGTGGACATGCCACGCAATTACATTTACCCATTTACCATACCAAATGCACTAAATATATATACATATTCACTATATGTATGTGTGTATGTGTGTGTATGGCTGGCAATCACATTACGTATACGCGCCATATGACGGCTGGGTAAAGAACCTTGCATTGAAAATGCTTGAGCTGTTGTTTGATTAAGGTCCGGATTAGATAAGACCGTGTAGTCAGGAGTCAGGCGAAAGGCCACGCTCTGATTTTCGTCGTAGCTCAGCAATTCGACTTCATAATTAAATTATGCCAGCAGCAGCAGCAGCAGCATTGCCTCTGCCCAAGCGCCACTCATTGAGTTAATTTGTGACAATTTGTGACTGAGTTGAGCTCTCGCTGTCGTTCTGTTGGCCAGTTAATGTTGCTGGCTGGCTGGCTTGAGCGAAAGGATTGCCTCTTTTCTGCCCGGCTCAAGCCTCGCTGAATAAACAACATTCATCTACCGCTTTGCTTGTCCCTGCGCACCCTCCCTCAACCTTGCCCCATCCCTATCCCTGCCGCATTGCTTCCGCTCGGTTCGTTAAATCGTGCGGCTATAAAGAACCAACCCGTTGGCCGACAACAACAATGGCAACAACATCAACGTGGACATCGCAGCTCAGTTTTGTTGTGCGCTTTTAATTAACATAATTTGATTTGTTCACAGCAATTTCAACTCGCCTTTTATGCATATAAAATGTACAACAATTTTCCATTATTTAATTTTGTTTTCATTTTCTTGCTCATTTCTTTTCCTTTCTTTTCTTTACATTTCTTTTTGGTAGCCAAGTGAAATGAATTTGGCTACAATTATTAGCTCTTATGCAGTTAAATGAAATTTGGCCAAGACAAGTTCTCAGTTTGACCTACAACTAAATAGATCTAATTCCTTCTGCCTAGCCTCTATTC